CTGTGATCATCTGCCTCAAGGTCACTTGTGTCACCGGTAGGAGAGGAGAATCTTGTTGGGAACCCTCGATGGTGGTGGCTTCCTTGGTGGGCTCTGGCTGGAGACCTAGCCATCTGTCTCTGTGCCGTGACCACCCCTGCCCCCTTCTTAGTGACTGTCCCCAGGCCCTTACTGATTTTTTTTTCAAGATTGATTGATTACTTGAACATCTGAGTTACAGATGAGAGAGAGAGAACAAGCAAGTGATCTTCATCCATTGGTCCACTCTCCAGGTGCCCACAATGGCTGGGGTTGGGCCTGAAACTCCATCCAAGTCACCCATGTGGGTGGCAGGGTTGTAAGTACTTGGACTGTCTCCCACTGCTTTCTCAGGTGTATTACAGGGAGCTAGATTGGAATTGGAGCAGTTGGGACTAGAACTGGTGTCCCTATGGGATGCTGGCATCAGAGGCAATGGCTTAACCTGCTGCTGCACAGTGCCAGCACTGCCCTCTCCCCATTGGTGCTTTAATGCAGCATGCAATTATTGAGTGCCTACTCTATACCAAGCCCTATGCTATTCATTGGGGATATAAAGATAAGCTTTTGAGGCTTACAGTCTAGTAGGCAGAGTTGAATGTCAAAAGTAAATGCAATGATGGGTTTTATATGTTGTAACAGTGAGAGCTGAGAGCAAGATGATGTCTTTGGCACCAAGTCCTAAATGGTGTAACTCATCCAAGATGCCTACTCCAGGGTCCGTTTCCTGGAAGAAGCAGCCTAGAGGCAGTAAAACAACGCAGGCTTCTGTATCTTGCAGGGCTGCATGATTCATGATCCAGGTTGTTCACTGCACAAGGGTTCCTAGCTGGGGAGAAGACAGACACTGACATCCAGCCCTCTCCATACTCACTAAAAATGGGAGTCTGTGTGCTCAGAGGAAGAGACATGATTGTCTGGTTCAGACAAAGGCAGCGTGTGGGCTGGCATCGGCTCTGCAGTCACGTTATGGCTATAAAGCTTTTTCACTTGGGTATCGCATTTGATGTTTCCAGTGATCACAAGCAATATGGCAAATGGTGAGCACACTGATGCAGACACGCTAAGCGATCTGCTCAGGGTCGCGAGGCAAGGAAAGCCCTCCGAGGAGCTGGGACCCCCCTGTATTTTGGCCTCCCCCTTGTGTCAGCTGACCACAGGACTCCTGAACGGCTTCTTCATCCTGTCAGAGTCCTGCTCCCTCCACAGCGGCTGCAGGTGCCGTGTCTCCATAAGGGAGCACGGTGCCCTCACGCTGCCGGCCCCCCGGCCCCACTGCACAGCTCACTGCAGCTAATGAATTGCTAATACAATTTTCTAGATAATTTTATTTCCATAGTCCCACATTTTAATGTGTTTCCAAAAGCTAGCATTTATTTGCTTAATCTCCCAGAGTAATAGAATCTGCCCTGACTCATCATACATGCGAACAATCAGCTAGGCAGAAACGACAGCAAATTGTTTAATAACTCACATCTAGTCTCTAGATTTTTAACTCGCATGCACCAATAGCTTTTCTTGCGTCGCATCCACTTCTCTCCTGTCCTTGCCTGTTTCTTTTTTTTTCTTAAAATACTTTTGCATCATCACAGCTATGGATCTCCAAGCAGATGGCTGGGGACCAGGGATGCAGGCCCTCAGAGGCCCCTTACTTCTCCCATGCATCCTGGTTGATGGGTCAGTGGCTTGGGAAAAACTTGCACCTTGTGGGATGTCCTAGGAGGTGGAGAGAGACCACTAGGAGGACACGGCAGCATTTCCTTCGCAGGTCAGAGGTTCAGGCAGACCTGGTGAACCTGTCAGCAAGACTCTGAGCGGGCCGCCTGGAGCTCCACGTGTGTTTCTTCTTCCCTGCTCAATCCCAGGCCCTGGTCCTGCCGCGCTGTCTCCCTGGGATTTTATTTCTCCGCCCCTCTTCCTGTGCTCACAGCACCTGTCCTGATCTGGCCCCCACCCTCTCCCAGTGGTAGCCCAAGAGCCATCGGCTCTCTTCCTGCTTCCAGCCACTTGCCGTGGCTCTTGGTCCCTGCATTGTGCCAGAGACCCTGCCCTTCTCCGGCACAGGCCATGCCGAGCCAGCACCACGCTTGTGCAACAACTGACCGTAGGTGAGCAGCTTCTGCACAGTAGAGAGCTGTTGCTCCAGTCCTGCAGGCTGGGAGGTTTGAGATCGGGATGAGCGCGGGCAGGTGCTGGTCCCTCTTCTAGGTTGCAGGCTGTGATGTGTCCTCACCTGGTGCAAGGGGCAGGGGAGCCCTCTGGGGTCCTTTTTATAAGAGCACTAGTCCCATTCGTGACCAGACTGGACACTCCCAGAGGCCCTTCCTGCGAATACCATCACTTTGGGGTTAGGATGTCTGCATCCAGCTCTTTGGAGAGACACAGACATCAGACCCTGGCAACCCCCAGTACCTGTGTGGCACTGCTGTGTTACCTGTAGAATGATCTGAGCTGTCTCACCTGGCACCTGTGCCCCAGTCACCTTCCCCGCTTATCTCCATCCCCAGGGCCTGTCCTCTGGCTCCACCTGCTCTGAAATTGGCCTGTGGCATTTCCTTAGCTTGGAAAATATGCCCACCTCCTAGTCCTTGCTTCTCATTTCTTAAAGCCTGACTCAGAATCTTCCCTGAAGCCCCCAGAGTCACCTGCCTTACCCTCTGTTGGCTTGCCAGTGGCCTCCACTGGTCTCGGACCCAGTTTTCTCTGCTTGACCTCAGCCTTGCCCTGGTCACCTCGCATGGTGCCTGCTTCAGTGGATATCGAGTGGCTTGGGCCATCCTGGGAAGTAGGGCTGGCATAGTGGGGCAGCTTCAAGGGACCTTGGGAAGGCTAAAGGGGCAGATGGCTGCAGGAGTCTGTCTGCCCTGCTGAGTGATAGCAGCACTTAAGAGTACCCTGAGCCTGGCTTGCTAGGCCCGGGGTGTCCTCCTGGGGTTGCCATAGATGGTGTTCATACATGTTCTGACCTGGGAGCCTCAGAAGATTGTTGTTAAAGGGTGTGGCTGGCCCAGGAAGCCTGCTCCACCTTGGTGATTTAAGGTGGATATTTGAACGCCTAGCTTGATTGGGACTGTCTGTGGGGTGACAGAGAGGGTGCCAGTCCTGGGTAGGACCCAGGGCTCAAGCAGCGGGGACTATTGCCACAGAACGTGTTGCAGATGCACTCCACTCCTGTGTATGTTCAGGACTCACTGTCAGCTCTTGGGCTGCTCTGCCCAGGCACACCATTTCCCTCTGCGTGTCCCCCTCCATCAGGTGGAGCCAGCCCCCTCATCACAACCTCTCAGAGATCCTGCTGGCTTTAAGAAGTGTTAGAAAACTTCAGAGGAGGGCTGTGCCTTGTGACCCAGCTCCCCACCCACTCTTCCTGGCCCAGAGCTCCAGAGCCGTTCCTGGAGGAGGCCCTGGGTGCACTGGTGCCTCTTGCTGTCATTCCTGTGCCTTTTTTGGGGAGATCCAGACAGACATGTGCCAGCCTTGAAGTACAGCTGGGCTCAACCCCATGGTTTCTAAAAGCAGACAGACGAAGCTATTTCCAGATCCCAACTCTGCCCCTTTCTACTGGGTGGCCTTAGCCAAGTTATTTGGTTTCTGCTTTCCCATTTTGAAGAAAGGGGGTAAGAATGGCTGCCTGGTACACTTGGAAGTTTTAAAGGAGATGACGTCTAGATAAAGTACTTAGCACAGTGCCTGCACTGGTTTCCCTTCCCTTCTGCTCTTTGAGGGCCAGGGGCAGAATCCTGTGTTCACTTGTGCTCCCCACCCCTTGCTCAGCCTCCCTGACTGCTGGGGAGGGGAGCATGGTTGCAGGGGCCTGGGATTCAGTGTCTGCAAAGGGAAGGGGGGTCTATGGGTGGATGTGAGGGGTTGGGCAGAGGCTGCCCCCGTCTTCTCAGGCTATTCCAAACTCAGCTACAAATGGGACTGATGTGGTGAGACCCAGACTGCCCATTGGCTGTCTACCTTGCTGGGCTGAGAAGGCAGCAAGGTGTATCATACAGTCCTCTCTCTTCACCCCCAGCTGCCGCCAGAAACTCCCTGGTTCTATACCTAGTCACGATGACCTGGCACCCAGTCCGCTGTGGGCTGATTGATAGGCGCTAGGCCTGACCACCTTTTCTGCTTTGTGTCCCTTGCCCAGGGGATAGTGGTGTGGGGCTAAGCACAAGTGACATAGCCAGGAAGCCAGCAGACATGGCCAAAGAACTGGAATCCAGTATGGTGGGCAAGGAGCTACCATCTAGGACTTGGGCTCCTGTGTTGCTAGAGCCAAGAAGGCCATGGCTCAGAGCAGCCAAAGAGAACATCCTACTTGTAGAAGGCACCAAAATGACATCCTTATTTGTTGAATGAATGGGCCTTTCAGATTCCTGCTTTAGCGAATGGAGAAGTAGCTGAAAGCCTAGGGTCTATAGCAGGTCTTAGGAAAGAATTCAAATCCAGGCAGCTGGCTGTATATCCGAGATATTCCCACTTGGAAACTCCATGGATCATTGCACAAGTTACTCAGTTTCTATGTGCTTCAGACTCCTTATATGAAGGGTGAGGTGAGTACAGCCTACCTTTTGGAATTGTGGTTTAGAATGAGTTACGTTAGAACGATGCCAAGCCTCTGTCTTCCTCATCATTGTTTTTCCTCTTCCACTCCTGCTGCAGATTCTGCAGAGCCCCTCTGCACTGTGTCCTTAGTACCCTGCCTTCTGCATAGCACCCAGCTCTACTGCAGAGGCAGGTTGGCCGCTGTGATGTATTTGCTTAACAGCTTTCTCCCTCTAGACTTTAGGTTCCGCCTGATGCCACGTGAGTGACTCGACTGTACAGCCCTGACGCCACGTGGGTGACTCGGCTGCCTCCGGATTTGCTCCTGAGCCTGGGCACCTGGGGGTGCTAGTCCTGAGGCTGGTTCTCCCTGTGCCCTGAATGGGTTGATGGTGGCCTTGTGTGTCCACCTCCTGAGGCTCTTCCTTCTGCTGTCTTCCCAGGCACAGACATGGCCGTCTTCTGTCTGCTGTGTGGGAAGCGCTTCCAGGCACAGAGCGCGCTCCAGCAGCACATGGAGGTCCACGCAGGCGTGCGTAGCTACATCTGCAGCGAGTGCAACCGCACCTTCCCCAGCCACACGGCCCTGAAACGCCACCTGCGCTCACACACAGGTAGGCCCATCCAGGTGGTGGGTGGGGGTCTCTGGAAGCTAACATTCAGACTTAGTGCCAAAGACATGAGGAGAAGAGACCAGACAGTGACCCTCAGCCCTTCCCTGCCCGAGGGTTGTGTATGTAGGGGCTTCCTGTCGTGCAGGAAGATGTTAGGAATTCTTCTGCAGACCGCATCCTGGGATCACTGGTTCTTGATCTCCCCATTCTCAACACAGAGGGTGCTCATTAAAAATGCACCAGCCTCAGAAACTTCAGCATTTTTCTAATGATAGATTTATTTATGTGATAGAGCAGCAGAGAGACGGATGCACGCACACATACAGATCTTGCATTTACTGGTTCGCTCCCCAAATGGCTGCAATAGCCAAGGCTGGGCCAGGCAAAAGCCAGGAGCTTCATCTGGGTCTCCTTGGTCGGTAACGGAGGCTCAAGAACTTGGGCCATCTTCCACTGCCTTCCCAGGTCCATTCGCAGGGAGCTGGATTGGAGGTGGAGCAGCCGGGGCTTGAAATGGCACTCGGTTATGGGCTGCCAGTGTTGTAGGCAGCAGCGTACCCTGCTGCATCACAATGCCAGCCCCGAGAATCGTCAGCATTGTACAAGTATTCACCAAGGATTCTGATGCAGGCGCACCCAAGATGCATCTTGAGAAAAGCTGATTTGCTAGGTGTCCTCACGCCACCCACACACACTCCTGAAGTCGGCCTCGAGCTCTCGAGAGTGTGCTGAAGAAGTGATCCTACATTCTGCACAATAACAGAAGCCTGTACCTGGCCTTCCCCCTGTTTAGCAAAGACAATCAGGGCATCTCCGCAGTGAGCCAGGAGACACTGCCCACCTCATGGGGTGAGCAAGAGGTGGCAAATCAGGGAGAGTGTGCCAGCTGCCCGAGTTCAGGCCAGTCCCTGCCACCAGCCTCTAGGTGGAGGGATGGGACACTTGGTCCCTGGGGCCTATGAGGTCTTTTCTTCCTTGTAGCAGCTCCTGGCCTTCTCCTAGGCAGGGCAATGAATGACTTAAATTTCCTTCTCTAAGACAGAACTAGATCTTCTCTCTCTGGATAGCGGAATGCCTGTTTCTGAGTCTGTGTGCTTGTCTGCTGTGTGTTGTCCATCCATGTTTGGGGGCAGGGAAGGGTCAGGTCCCTCTCTGGATATTTAACGGAGTATCTGCCCATGTCTGTTGGAGAGGGTTTAGAGAGCCCTGCCTGTCCCAGAGAGGAGTGCCAGGCCCCTTCTCGTTCCTGAGGGGCTTGTCATGGCTCAGGGCTTGCGCATCAGTCAAGCCCTTGCATGGGTGGCAGGCTTTGCTGAAGAAGGGAGGCCTTTTGTTGCTTTTAACTGATGTACCCAAGAGGAGCTCCTTTGGCAAAGAAAGGCTTATTTCAGCTTACAGTTTGCAGATCACAGTTCAGGACTGGGTGGCCTCGGCAGAAGCTGGTTAAAGCAGATGCAGAGGCATGATGACCTGGTGAGCCAGGAAGAGAGAAAACCCAGGCCAGATTCAGACTCTAGGATAATCAGTTCTCCCTTGAGGACCCCCTCCGAGGACATGCCCCTAGTGACCTGAACACCTCCCATCAGCCCACCTTCCAGCTGCCACAGTTACATCAAGTCTGCACCTTTAATCCATACACATTTTGCATGAGTTCTGGGGAGACAAGACTGACTATCCATACCAGCTTTATTTAGCACGGCCTCACCAAGAAGCCAGCCGGGGTCTCACTGCCTGATGCCATTCTGTTCAGGCAGACATTGCCTTAGCATCACCAGATTTGCTTAAAACAACTTGAAATTTCTGGGGTCAGGACAAGGGGAGAAATCCCAGAAGGTCAGGCCTGACCAGCAGGGTGGGGAAGGAAGGGATGTGGACAAGGCCCTTGACTGTAAACCAAAGCCTCCAACTGCATAAGCATCTCAGCTGCAGGTACGTCACCTTCCCGCCAGTGCCTCCCTCGGTGGGTCCCCGAGTCCAGCCTTAGGAGCGATGTCAGTCGCCTCTCTGCTGCTTCTGAGCATGCTGCTGGATCAGATCCCTTGGCTTCATGTGATTTGAATGATTCCAGTCCTACTAAGTCTGCCCCAGATAGACATTACTTTGCCCACGCCCCCTCCTGAGAGCTCAGAACCTGAGAGTTTGTTCTGCTCAGATCTGTTAGGATGGACTATTTTCCAGACTGAGTTTGAGAGAGGCCCTTATTGTAGGAAACACAGAGCATGTGTACTGTCTGTATGCATACACACACATACACACACCCATGGATTTTCACACCAGTGAGGTGCAGTACACACAAGCCATATACAGGCTGTGCACACTCTACACACAATGCCTCATTAATTTCCGTTGTTCTTGGCCCATTTGCTGCCGGGGCTGGGTGTTTAGCATCAGCAGCTGTGTTTGGTAGGTTAGTCCAGCCGCGCTCTTGGCATTGATGGATCCCTGATTCACACGGCACATCATATAATAAACTCTCAGCTGTGTGGAAGGTGGGACAGGGAGGGAGGGTCCTGAGGAGCCGTGAGGCTGGGGCTGGGGTAAAAAGGACACCTTGGGGCTTGGCCAGGGTCAGGGAAACCTCCAGGTAAGGACAGCCCAGGGCTGGGGGAGGGGTCGCAGGTGCACTGGGCAGGCCGGAGGGGCTCTAATTAGTCTCGTTTGTCCTGCACTTAATGTCAAGCTCATTAAAGAGGCTCCAGAGTTAATCAACATACCACAAATTGGATTTTGAGTTCTGCAGCCAGTTTTGTGTACACTGTGGTGACACTGACCCGATTAACTCAGGGTGAGGATTTCAGGCCAGGTGCTCGCCCTGCTACAGAGTGTGTGTGTGTGCCCTGCTACAGAGTGTGTGTGCGCGCGTGTGTGCATGCATGTGTGTGTGTGTGTGTGTGTGTGTGAGTGAGACAGAGAGAGAGAGAAAGAGAGAAAGTAGTGACTTTTTGTTTTTTCCTTCTAAATTCTTTTTGTTCCTTTTCCTGGGTAGACTCAGGAGATTTCCCGTTTAAACTCATTTCACACGTGATCCACTTCATAATTAAATTCATAAAAATCTGATCAAACACACCCCTTACCCTTTGTCTCTCTCAGACTCTCAGGGCCCCCTCTGGAGGGGGAAAGGCACAGGTGGCCACCCCCCTCCTCCCCACCTCCCCACCTCCCTCGGGTTGGGCCGCTGCCGATGTACGTTTTAATTACCGGCTCTGGCTGAGGTCTCACGTGGCCCTTGCTTTATTTATTTATTTATATCTTAATGAGGATACTGAATCTTTGATTAAAGTCGTAATCGTTGCCGATTCAGTAAGGAGGGGGAGTGGGCTGTCGGACCAGACGGGGCCACGTGGGCAGACAGGGAGAGAGTGGCGTGCGCCCCCAGGCTGCCCCTCACTCTCATGGACATAGCTAATCAGTGCCAGGGTCTGCACAGGCCCAGGCAGTGCACGTGGGCCTGGCAGCAAGAGGGTAGGTGGATACTGGTTCTCCCAACAGAGAGCTGTAGGACTTGGTCCACTCCCAGATCTGTAAGCAAGGGCCTTGCTGAGCCGGGGTGATGCCCTGTAGACGAAGATGGGACCCACGCCGTGGCATTCAAGGCTGGCTCTGCTCTTGGAGCTCCTCTCATCCGATTCCTCAGTGGAAGTGCCCCCCCCCGCCACCCCCATGCCTTCAGTGCTTCTTGCAAATCGTCCACCCATGAGAGTCAGCCGTGAACAGACCCCAGCGTCTGCTCCCCACAGAGCCTTAAAAACCCTTCAGAGCCATCAGAAGAGAGGAGAATTTATGTGGGTACAGGGCCTCCATCCGGGCGGGGGGACGGTTTGGTTAGCGGCCTGAGGAGGGGAGAGAGGAGAGAGAGTAAAATATCATTTTAAAGAGGAAGTGAAGGCACAGGCATGCGAGTCTATAACGAGAAGGACAATTTATGCCCAGGCACGAGCGCAGTTTGACATGGGGATAATGAAAAAACGTAGGTCATTGTGGATGACTTAAACCTCAGCAGCTGAAGAAAATGTATGAAATGCAGAGGACATTACACGGTTGGCAGCCCCGCACATCTGCAGAGGGACAAGTGAAATACAGTGGGCCATTCTTTACCATAAACTGTGGTTGTTGGAGATGCAGCCCAGAGAAATTGTAATTACAGTGACAAGACGAATCAGCGATATTTAAATATTCATGAACAAAGTCTGGGGTGATCAATCTATCTTTATTGTCTGTGCCTTCACTCCTGTAATAAATAAGTAGCTGGAGTCCTCACCTTTCCTCCAAACCCTGACTTTGGGTACAAAAATGCAAGGTGGTTATCCCCACAGCCCAGCCCCCCACCCTCTGGGCAGGGGAGAGGGCGACGCCCTACAGGGAGGTCGATGGCCATAGGTTCTGGTCTGAAGGGAGGCAGTTCTCCCCGTTTCATGGACCAGGGCCCCTCAGAATGTTCCTGGACAGATGGATTGAAAAGATAAGTATTTTTTGGTGTAAAACATTTTTGAAATCCTGTGTACTGTTTGCTAACATGTGTCTTTTATGACTTTTTAAAGGACCCCTCGTATGCATGGATTTCAACCATTTTTGCAACAAAATAATCTTTGATTTCCATTTTCTGGGGACCTTGTGAAGGACCCTGGTAGCCAGTGCTTCCCCCGAGTCTGTTCTGGGTCAACCATTAGCTCTACAATGGGGCCACACCGACAGATAAAGCCCCTCTTATCCCGGAGGTGCTTCCATTTAGAAGCACAGTGGGCAGGTCCTCAGACACAGCGCAGTGGGTCAGCTCACATCCTGGCAAGTCCCATCAACACCTATCAGAACTTGAGAGCTGTGTGACCCAGGAGGTGATACCTGAACACCTCTAAGCATCTCCTTTTTCTCATCTGTAAAATGAAAATGATATTCTTCTTTAAGGTCATTGCCACAGTCATGGGACATGATCTGGGTGATGTGCTCAGTGTGGTAGTAAGCACTCAACAAATACAGGCCATTTGCATGAGAAAGCATCCTACGAATAAACAAACACAATGGTGGCCGTGTCTGCTGTCCTGGGACAGCGTAGCAGTTGTGACTCATTCTGTTTGGGGGACTCACCGGAAACTTCCCAACGAGGGCGTCAAGCGGCGACCAGGAGGTCTCTGGGGAGGCAAGAGGAAATTAGAGTGAGCAGCTTAAACTAGGGAGGAGGGAAGAACCAAGAGCATGGCGGGGACAAGGAGAACCCCCCAAGTTGGAGGGAGGTGTTTGAGGGTTGGAGAATCAGGCCAGACTGACCCAGAGCTAACAGAAAGGGATGGTGTAAAGAGCAGGCTGCAAGATGGCAACGCCTCCCGGGTCTGGGGGCTGCTGTTCATCCTTGAGCCAAATGGGTTCTCTTCTCCCGGGGCTGGTCCTCCCCCACCCCATGGATGACCACCGAGACCTAATGAAATACGGACACACGTGAACACAGGAACCCCCTCTTTATGCTATGGGGAGGGCGGAGGCTGTGGATCCTTCAGTGAGGTACCTACAGGTAGTCTCACCCACTTCTCGTCCCTTGAAGAGGGGCTGGGAGAGCCCAGGGCCTGACCCAGCCCCTGTCCACACAGGTGACCACCCGTACGAGTGCGAGTTCTGTGGCAGCTGCTTCCGGGATGAGAGCACACTCAAGAGCCACAAGCGCATCCACACGGGCGAGAAGCCCTACGAGTGCAACGGCTGCGGCAAGAAGTTCAGCCTCAAGCACCAGCTGGAGACGCACTACAGGGTGCACACAGGTACCACGGGCCGTGGCGGACACCTGCACTGGTTCTGGGACTGGGTAGGGAGCAGGTAGGTGCCCAGGCAAGTCCATGAGAGACTGGTCTGAGGCTGAACCACAAAAAGCCAAAGAGGTTCCACTGTGGACTAGCATGGTGTCCTAAGTGCTCCTGAGCCCCCTCTCCAGGCCAGGGCAGACATCAGTAATCGATCACAACATGCTGTTCTGTGAGCCCAGACCAGCCTTCCAGGCAGCCACACCAGTAGTGTAGTCATGACAGGCAAGATGATGCCTACTCGGGAGTCCCAAATGAGAGTGAAGTTGGCCCGATTTGCTGAAAGGTTAGGATGGTTTCATGCTACTTTATCCCTCGAGTAAGAACTTGAGCATACTGGATTAGGTACTGCTGAGGGTGGTGAAATTGCAAAGTTAGATGGAGTTGGGGAGCTGAGATTGGAGGAGAGGATCATTTAATCAGCTCTGTGTGCGTGATCTGCTCCCAGTTCAGAGCACTCTCCCGTCCTCCTTTATGTAAGATATAGGTGAGCAGCTCTTTCCCTGGGGGTCCGAGGGTGGGGCAAGTGGTGCAGATTTCTGGAAGCTTTCGAGTTGAGGGCAGCTGACTTGTGAAAGCCTGTGTTGCACATTTCTTCCCACTCGCAGAAGTTTGCTACCATCACCTCGGTTACTTAAAATCTCCTTGGTTGGGTGGAGTATTTGCAACATGGCAGTCGGCAAAGGCTGTCAAGCCGGGTCTGTGGGGAGCCAGCTGTTGACCACTGCCGGGCATGGGGAGGGTAGCTGTGCACAAGGACTGCCGCTGAGGGTAAGAGGTGAGGGACCCTGGCTGCTGGGAAGAGCGTCCTTTGAGCAGAGGAGACAGCTGTGCTGGCCGGTGAGCCCAGGCAGGGCCTGCTGCCTCAGTGTCGCCCCAGGAGCGCAGGGGTACACGGAGTGTGTAGTGAGCAGAGTGCGCCTTACCAGTGCTGTGGGCCCAAGGAGCAGACAGGGTGCGCGTTGCTGACAGCGACCCAGGGGATTTCCCAGAGCCCTGGGGTTTCCTTAGCCGCTTGTCGGGGATATGACCTGGCGAGTGGATCATTAAGTGCATTGGCAGTGACTATTGTAAATAGCCGGTCGATAGTTAGATCACTTTGGCTGTTCATTACTTCATTATTTGCTGGGGCCTCTGCACGGAGGAGTATCGATAGCGAGATGGCTGGCCAGTTAATTACTGTATTGAAACAAGGTTCCCTCACATCCTCTGCTCAGCTCCAGGGGACGCTCATGGAGGGAAGGGCAAGGAGCAGGCTAAGGTGTGGCCTTGTACCCCTAGCTTCTTAGTCCCCGCCCCCCCAGTTCTAGTCGGCGGGGGGGGGAGGCAGAACAGGGATAGTGTTGGAGGGACTGACTTCTCCTGTCCCCACCCCCCACATCCATGGTCCTGCTGCTGAACAGGGAGTGGGGGCACCGTGACCTGAGGAGCCCTCGCCAGGTACGTCCTTTTCTTTACTTAGGAAGGGAAGAGGCCAAGTCTTTTAAGAGTCCAGACCAGTAAGACAGGGGGCTGGGGCTATGCTGAGCATTTCTGTAGCCACACGTGTGACATCACAATAAAGTAAAAAGTGTAGTGGGCCAGCAGCATGAGACACACCACAGCCGGGCAGTGCAGAGCTGGAGGGACGGAGGCCTCCGGCACCAGGCCTACGCCCCACTGCTGTGCCTGCTTCACTCTCCTTGCCCCGTCTTGCCCCCCCACCATCCTGCAGGTGAGAAGCCCTTTGAGTGCAAGCTGTGCCACCAGCGCTCCCGGGACTACTCGGCCATGATCAAGCACCTGCGCACGCACAACGGCGCCTCGCCCTACCAGTGCACCATCTGCACGGAGTACTGCCCCAGCCTCTCCTCCATGCAGAAGCACATGAAGGGCCACAAGCCCGAGGAGATCCCGCCCGACTGGAGGATAGAGAAGACGTACCTCTACCTGTGCTACGTGTGAAGAGGCGCCCGGGGCCGGGGGAGGAGCGCGGGACGACGTGGAGGAAGGACTGTGCGCAAAGACACAAACGGAAAAGGAAGAAAGGAGAGAAGAGAAAGAAATCGAAAAGCTGGTGGGCCTTGGGTTCTCCCTGGGGCTCTGGAGCCTGGGATGCTACGCCACTGCCCCTTCCCCCTTCTTTCCTGGGCCTGATTTTCTTGGGAGGGGTAGGGCGGGGGTGGTTTTGCTCACTCAGATGGAGGCAGCCTTTCCCTCTCTCTCTACCCAGACCCGCCTCTTGTGTCCAGAAGTGGAGGCGGGGGACAGGGGAGAGGGCCTCTGGTCCCAGTCTGCCTGCCCTCGTCCCACTGCCTCTGAAGCCGAGGGAGGGGAGCAGCGGACACAAGGCTGAGCTGGCGGGGCAGGGCTGGGCCTCGGTCGACACTCATGATGGCAGCTCTGGCTTCCCAGTGGCTGATGGGACAGGGGAAGAGCCCCTGGCTCGTCCCAGCACTCAACTTTCACCTGTTGCTTTCCCCGCCTGCCACCCCTGAGCATCCCCTCCTGGCCTCCAAGAACCCCGAGGCTCTGGGCTGAGCTCCTCATGCCCTGCCGGCAGTCAGGACCTGGGGGCACTCTGGGCTCCTCCTGGCTCTGACTCTCGGAGGCACTGTCTTCCTTCGCCTGTGTCCTGGTTGAGGAGCTGCCTCCTGCCTTTGCTTTTGAGAACAGAATGGAAGGGATGGAATAGCCTAGCCCAGCCAGTCAAGCCCCTTCTTCCATCACAAGGGAGATTCCTGCCAAGCTGCTTTTTGCTTCCAAAATGGAAAATCGTAACCACCGAGTGTATAGTTAACTCCCCACCATGCAAACAGTCCCTCCAACCCTCTTCAGTTGCTAGGGGAAAGAGTCCAAGAAAGACTCATTGTCCAGGGGGAGCCATGGGGGTGTCTTTGTCCAGATGGGCCCTACACCTGCGCACGGGAACAGACGCTCCGCCTGAACTGTTAGGCCGTATCAGGGACCCCCTCAACGTGGGGACCGGGGTCCCCCAGACCTAGTGAGGCCCTGGGGACGCCCGGGTGCAGACAGCAGCACAGAAGCCCAGCTCCAGGGCCCCTCAGTCCACAGGGTTGGGGTTGGGGTGGAGGGAGGAGTGGAAAGTGTTTTGGCCTTGTGTCATGTTTTGCTTCTTTTCTGTGTCCCCTGTCAGCACATTGTACTTGAATTACCTCAGTTTTTTGTGACCTCATGAGCTTTTTTCACCCCCTGCTTTTTTTTTTTTTTTTTTTTGGGGGGGTTGGGGGGTTGGAGGAACGGGGAGGGTATCCTTTTCTGTTTCTTGTGTAAATCAATAGTTTATAGACTTCAGCTGGCCTGGGCCTCCCAACCACAAGGCACTGTGTGGAGGAGTCAAGTGCTCAGGATCTGAATGGGAGGGTGGGCGCAGGGGATGGTGCCCCGGGGTCTCGCTGCCCCCACAGGGGCCTCCATCCTAGGCTCTTAAAGCCTCAGTGCCCTGTAGGAGATCAGCCCAAAACACTCAGGAGAAAATCCCACCTTTCTTTCCACCACTCTGCTGGGCCAGCCAGCTGGGAGGGCTCGCCCGCCTGTGTCCATGGCCACTGCCACAGAGCCTCTAGGTTTCTGTGGCTGGTCTGGGGACGAGCCAGCTTTTAGTTCTGTTGTGTTGGGGTGGAGGTGTGGTTTCTCCAAAAGCTACCTCTTGTGTTCATCCAAGTGTTCTTTTGTCCCCCGTTGGCTGCTCTGCTCCCCGCCTTTGCCCCGCCCCCTCGGAGTGTGGGAAAGCACGCTTGGGATCTCCACGTCGGCTTTGGGGTGATGCTCTGTTACATCTCATGCTCTCTGTGTAAGGAGTTTGACTTGTGTTCTTTTTCTTTCCTTTCTCTTTCTGAGAAAGTTGTGGCTGCGTTTGGATCTTAGGTTTTAGGAAGTGGTTTGGGGGGAGCAGGGTGGTGAAGGAGCACATGGAGGTCAGAGGGGTGGGTGCTGCTGAGACCACCCTCCCCCGCCCCACCCCTCCTGTCTTGTCTATGGAATCTGAAGGCCTTAAAAACCGTATGGGAGGAGCAGTGGACCTGGGGGAGGGGGGCTGTGTCACTAGACTGGGTTAGGCAGGTAAGGTAGGGAGTAACTATGACTTTGTGCTTTGAAAAGGACGAGAGATTCACCTGTCATGTTGAGAATGTGAAAAGAGCAGGATCATTGGGGGAGGGGCCGGGTAAGAAACCACTGTGCACTCGTCCCTCCTTCATGGGCCTTCAAGGCATCTGGAAAAAAACAGTATTTTTAATGGCAAGATGTCATTCAGCATTGGAGGGGAAATTAAAAAAATAATCCCACTATTCCTTAGAACTAGCTGGCCTTTCTCCCCCACCCTTCCCACTCAGCCTGGCCTCCCCCTGCCCCTGGTCACAGAAGCTGAGAGGGGTGAGCTACTCTTTACAAATTGTAATATTTTTGTAATATTTGTTCTTCCATCAGTTCTACAGGACCTGGCCCTTCCTTTTGTAATGTGAATAGGGAAAACAAAATCCACACCACCACCACAGTGTCCCTGTGTATGCACGTGTGCGTGTGCTTTGTGTGTGTGGCCAATCACGCAGAGGTGCCTCGATCTGGTCTTGCAGCATTAGATGGTACTAGGTCTGCACCTGCCTGCCTCTCCCGGTTTGGAGGTCGGGGGGTGGGGGGGATCGTTTCTGAGGGATGCTGGACAAGCCCATCCCTGTTCTTGCTGCACAGTCTGCTCTGCTCCCACCAAGCCCCAAGTCACCCCGAGGAGGGAGGCTCCAGTCTCCCTCTACCCCAGTTTCCTACCCACAAAGACAAAACAGTTCAAAAGTTGGCAAGGGCTTCCTGGCCGGGAAAGCAGCCGTCCTGGGGCTGCGGCGGTGGCTGGAGTTCAGGAGTGGGTGGAGGGTGCTCCTTCCCCAGATGAACTCAGTATCTGCCCTCCCCGCTTTTCTCTGCCCCTGGCTCCTAGGGCCACCTGGCTGCCTTTAGCTGACCACTCCGCTTACTCCTGCCTTACCCAGCACAGTGACGCCTGCGCAGCCTGGGCAGTCCCAGTTGTTAATAGTCCCCTCCGTGTGCACACCTGGCCCTTCATACCTGCGGTGAGTGATCCCTCACCCCTGTGCTCTTCCCCTCTTTATTCATTCAAAGCATTAAAATCCTATGTGTATATAGGATAGACAAATATATATAGAGAGATATATATAGCAAGAGAGATATAAAATAGTAACTATCGTTGCTGCTTTGGGCTGCTTTGGAGGAGGCTACGAGTATGGGGAAGGCAGAGATGGGGCACAGGGGTGGAGCAGGAGGCTGGGGGGACCCAGCGTTCCGTACAATCCAGGGATGCAACACGGGCTTGTTTGATTTTTGTGCCTGAACAGTTTTTCCCATGTTGAGAAAAAAAGGAAAAAAAAAAAAAAAACTGCTGCAATTTTTCACAAGTGTATAGCCCTTCTCTCGAGGCTGCTGGTGTAACTACTACAGGTGGGCAGGAGAGGACGTGGGCTTGTCTCCTAGGGCAAGGGACACAGGTGCGGGAGGCCTTTGGACTCTGCCCATCGGAGGTGGCAGGGGGTGTGGTTTTTCTGGGGGTGGGGGACAATTCATTGGCAAGCCCACCTGGGATGGAAAGTGGGGACACCAGGATGGAGGAGGAGGAGGGGGAGAGCCTGCTTGTTGGTTTTCCCAAGGCCCACGTTGCGCTTGTCTGTTCCCTTCACCTGGGCCCTGCTCCGAAGCTCCTGCTGGCTGGGCTGGGGTGGCAGCACTAACCTGGATATTGCAGTGGGAGACAAGAAGCCAAACTAAGGTAGCAATGGCCAAGAGAGGGGTGCAGGACAAGCCTGGGAGGGGAAGAGGGTGGGGAGCGGGCCTGTGTGCTGGCAGCATCCCCCAGGCCTCGGCGGCCTGTGGGGCAGACAGGGTCCCTGCCTCCTGGGTGTATCATAGAGTTCGTTCGCATAGTGTGATGCATGATGCTCGTGAGGTTACGAAGCCGTGGTGGTGCACCATGACATCCGACCCCCATAGATAAAGATAAATATATATATATGTATGTAAATTATAGCACTGAGGGCCCTGCGGCCCTGCTGGACCAAGCAAAACTAAGCCTTTTGGTCTGGGTATTTTGTTTTCGTTTTGTTTCTTGTTTGTTTCTGTGGCTTGTCTTACGTCGTGACAGCACAAGTGCCAGTCCGATTGCTCTGTATTACAGAATAGTGTTTTTAATTCATCAACGTTCTAGTAATTGTCTACCTCAGCACCTCCTCTTAGCCTAATTTTAGGAGGTTGCCCAATTTTGTTTCTTCAATTTTACTGGTTCCTTTTTGTACAAATGCACCTCCACCTCTGTCTCTATCTTTTTCCTTCCTCCACTCTCTCTCTCCCGCCCCCGTCCCGCCTCCCGGCCCTCCCAGTTCTGTGTGTGCCATCCTCGCCCCGCCCCCAGTTGGTCTGCTTGCCAGTCTTAGCCGTTCTCCTGCCCGAGCAGTTGACTCAAAGTTGCAGCTTTCCGCATCTGCCTTCGTTTTGTGTAGATTGCCGCGTTTCTTTGTAATTTCAGTGTTTCTGAAAAGATTTAAAAAGGAAAAAAAAAAAAAAAGAAAAATCAAATTTACTGCTGCAGGTTTTTTTCTCTCTCCATGTGTCACTAAGTGAAGTTTGTGCCTTCTATAGCAAAGAGAATATTTTTTACATCCTACTAACAGTAGATTTTTTTGTAGTGAACATTTTTTGTATTTTTATTTATAAGTCTCATAAGAAAAATAGCAATGTTCAGTTGTATACCTTGAATCTGCAGTTAGAAGAGAATAAAGTTAATTCAGTTGTCTCTGGTTCGAAGTGTCCTCCTTCCTTTTCTTTTGCCTTGGTGTTTTGGGGGGTTGGGGAGCACCGGAGAGGTACCGAGACTGCTGTGGGTCGGGGAAAGAGAGCCCCACGCTCACCCTCCCTGAAGTGCCTCTCCCAGGCTGCATTCACAGTCACACCCAGGCCCTAACACCGTGTAAGACTCGCTGGTTTAAAAATAGCATGAAATACGTGAACACCACATGATGCCTTGTCCCAGGCACTACACAGGCATTCATTCAGCAAGACCTGACCACCTTACTGCTGCGGGCAGTTTATTTTAATGAACGCAGTGCAGACAAACCCTGGTCCTTGTGGGGTGCACACCTGCGGGTGGCTGGATGGAGCCCCTGCATTGGCTTGGGTGTGGCAACCTGCCCAGGCTCTTGCGGGCAGCAGTGGGAGCCCCAGGACTCCCCCCCCCCCCCCAGGCAGGGGTTTCCCGTCTCAACAAAGGGCTCCCTTCAGTTAAAGGTCCAGCCTGGACCTGTTGATGAGGGAGCCTGGCGCAGATGGCCAAGGCCAGGAGGGTGGGGCAAGCCTAGCAGGGGACAGGATTTCCATCCAGCCGCCCGCCCTCCTGCCAGGGATGGGAGCTTGTCCTTCCCTGTAAAACCCCTCTCCAGTCAGTCCTAGCTTGGTGGTTGGCACCTGTGCCCAGGGCCACTCCCACTCACTCCTTCCGGTCAAAATCCTGCACCGCCTCACCAAGCCCCCGGGGACCCCGGCGTGACTCCCTCTGTGGGTCACTGCACTGTGGCAGACCCATGCCACACACCCCGGCCTGACCCCCTCTGCCATTGTGGGGGGGGGCGGAGGGAGGAAGGCCCTCACTTTGCCCGCCTGCCCACTCCATCCCTGAAGGACTGGGAGGTGGCCTTTCAGCCCTTGGTCCGACCCCAGGCCTGGGGCTACTGAGCCCAAGAATGTTCAAGCTACACTTGCTTCCCAGAAGCTGCCCCAGGGAGAGGCCAGACCGGGCAGCAGAGTCGGGGTCGCCCTGGTTCTGGCTCCCTCCTGCCCCTCCCTTCCCCATGGGTCCTTCTACTCGAGGCTCCTCATCACCCCATCATTCTCTTCCACTCCTCCTCCCTCAGCTCCCCCCCAACATACACCCCAATTTTCCCTGCCTCCTTCCCTGGCCCACATTGTTTTTCTCTCCCTATATTTCTTATCTTGCAAAATAATCCTGGGCCCAGAATCTAAGTGTTTGGCTCGGAGCTGCTGCCTGCCCCACCCCAGAGGCACCGGCCTCCCTCCTGCTCCTCCCTGCCCCGCTGCCCGCCCCTCCCCCCCAAGGCCTCGGCTTTCTCTTGACAGATGGGAGGGCAGCGAGCACTCCCTCTTTAAAACAACATTTAATCGCCGTTTTCTGTTCTTGGACATCAAAGCTGGGGCTTAGGCGCGGGCGCTGGGGGAGAGGGGGTGAGTGAATAGGGGCCGGGCTGAATGGGCTTTGTGTGACCGCCAGGGTCTGCCTGCTTTACATGCTCTTTGACCCAGATATGATCTCATGGAGAGAAAGGGGCCCTGGCCCGGCCAGCCTGAGAACACTGCTCTCTCCCGCCCTGGCCTGACTCAACTCCCCTCCCACTCCCGCTGCTGGCCCTGGCCGCAGCTGCCCTCTGCCCCTGCTCCGGCTGTTGTGGGCCACCTCCTCCAGGACCTTCTCCAGGACCGGGATGGCACACGGCTGGGGTCGGAGCAGGGGACAGGTATCCGAGGCCGGGGCTGGGGAGGTGGGATCTGGGTGCAGGTGACTTCCGGGGACAGTGACTGCGAGTTCCGTGCACAGGGTGCCCCCCCTGCACAGGGTCACTTGGGTACTAGAGTCCCATCAGCCTTAGCAGCTCTCCTGCTGGTGGCTGCAGAGGGACCTGCTTCCCAGCAAAGCTGGTAAACTGAGCCCCGAGCCAGTGGAGACCTGCTGAACACTCAAGTTGTAGCAGGTGAGAAGGGGGAGGTGGCCAAGAGCAAGGCCTTCCCACCTGGCTGCCTGCGGAGCCTCCCACTCCCGACACCAGGAAGCGGCGAGGTCTGAAGATTACTGACCTCCCGTGCTCGGCCCCCGGTCCCTCCCTCCCTCTGCTCTGTCCTCGGCTTGCAGCCAAGGCGATTTTCCAAAAACACAAATGGTGTTCCAGCACCCATTCATGGAGGTCGCTGGTGGCCCCTCAGGATGGAATCTAAACTTCTCAGCAGGCTGGCAAGTCCTGAGGTGACAGAGCTCCTGCACACGTGCCACCCCTGCCCTTTGCCCCGGCCGACGGACCACGATGGTTCCTGGTGCACACAGAGTTCTGTCTCCTGTGGGCTTTTGCACTTGCTGTTCCCCCTCCTGGGGGCTGCACAGACACACACCCACCCTCTCCACTTCTCATTGTTCCCTCTCCCAGGAAGCCTTCCCTGGCCACCTGCTGTGCCAAGCCTCTGTGGTGCCATTTGTCACAGTGCATCAGGATCACCTGCACTTGAAGTTCCCGGAAGGAAAAAGGAAGGGAGGAAGGGAGGGAGGGAGAGAGGGAAGGAAGGAGGCTGTCAATCTGCTGGGGCTGAGGATGCTGTCGGGGTGAGAGACAGGATTAAGTAGCAGCACATCCTGTGTCCACCGCACCTCCACATGACACACACAGACACGTGTGCACACATGGCAGGGCCCCAGCAGGGGTTCTGCCTCCCCGCAACAGTGCCCCTGTTGAGTGCAGAGTCACCAGGCCCAGGACAGGTGGTGCCTCCCAGCAGCCTGGGCGTGGCTGGCATGGGGCCTGCGCATGTGGAGCACACCTGGCCCACCCCCCAGCTCTCTCCGTGGTTCCGGAGCCAGGCCCTGGCCCTCGTGAGCTGGCAGGAGGGCAGACTCCTCTGGAGCCCTCTTCTCTGCTCCCCAGGGCGGGCCCCAGTGAAAGTGAACTCACTCATTTAAACCTGACTCTGCAGCCCGGCAGCCCCCCGCAGCGCTAATTACCCTGTAGTTCTAAACTGATTGCTGTACACTAAGCCTAAGCCCTCCTTTATTTATTTACTGACTACATTAATAGCAAAGCCGTGCTGCTCACAGCCGCTCCCCACTGCACGCTGTTCCCCCCGTATTTCCCCAGGGAGGCGGGGGTGCAGAGGCACAGCCCGGCCCAGAACCCCCAGACCTGCCACCCTGGCCAACTCCCCAAGATGGACAGTGATGAGGAGCCACTGCCTTCACACAGACTTTGTCCTGGATCCAAGGGGCTCCTCTTGTTCTGGCTGATGGGGTGGGAGCTCCAGGGCACGGCGGCCCCCTAGCCAGCAGGGTCTCCTGTCTCAGGGGTGCTCGGAACACTTTACAACAACCCCTGTGCAGTAGGATGCTGGATCTGGCCTCTATGAACCCCACACAGCTGGGAGGCGCAAAGGTGGCTCTGGAACTCAGGGCTTCGCACTCCCATAGCTCTGCTCTTTCCTCTGCACCTGCCACACATGTCTAGGGCATGCTCCGCCTACTTGCCTAGGTCTGACCGCTTCTGCCGAGTCCTGTGTTCCCACAGCTCCCCCCCTTTGGCATGAGCAAGGAAGCTTTTCCCTGTTTGGACCCAGCCCTGCATCTCCCAGCTCTGTCAGCCTCATTCACAAGCATTGGCTGGAAACGGGACCAAGGCTCTGCTTTACTCAGCACATCTGAGTCAGACCCTTCCCCAACCCTGGGCCTTCTCCACCATGCACGCACCTGGGGCTGTCTGGGGATTAGAAGCCTGCATGGGCTCCCAGCCCTGGGACAGAAGTGGCCATGACCATGCTGCCGTCACTCCCTGTGTCTCCCAAGTGCCTTCGAGCTCCCCCCACCCCCAGCAGAGCTGGGCTCTGGCCTTAGGGCAGAGCTGGGCTCTGATAACCAGATGGTCACCATCAGGGTACAGCATCTGGACCCATGGCATCAAGCACTCAGGCGCTCCTTTGATTTGAAATAGCTCAGTGGCTGCCATGCTGGGCACCTGGGGAGGTGGGGCAGCTGGGATTCGGCACAAGAACCTGGGATCTAAGTCAAGAGGATTGGGTTTGAGGCCAGCTCTGCTGTGCCTTGTGCCACCTTGCTGCATCTCAGAGCCTCTCTGAGGCCCCGTTTCTGTCCATCTGTAATACAGAGGACGGAAGTAGCTATCCTATCTTAGGTCAATTGAGAAGCCAGCTTTCCACAAGCCACAGTGTTTCAAAAAAATACGTTACAAATAAAGGCAGCTCAGGCTGGCCAGGAGGGGGAGCTGGTGGCCTAGACATCCATTTCCAGGGCAAGAGCCCACAGGGCTGTGGCTGAGAGCCAGGAGCGCTGGGTTCTGGGGTGATGGCCCCTGTTGCAGGCATCACTGGGACTCTATCGCCACCTAGTGGGCAGCAGCTGCAGCTGTCTCAGCCACTGGGTCTGGGGAAAGTGAATGGGACTGCACAGCCCTTAAGGGCAGCCTTGGGGACACTGGTTCAAGTCCTGGCTGCTCCAATTCTGAGATTTCTTGCTAATGTGCCTGGAAAAGCACCAGAAGATGGCTCAAGTACTTGAGCTGCTGCACCCATGTGGGAGACTGGGAGGAAATTCCTGGCTCCCAGCTTTTGTCTCTCAAGTAAATAAATTAATCTTAAAAAAAGAACTTGGAGGGGCCGGCAACATGGCTCACTTGGTTAATCCTCTCCTTGTGGCACCGGCATCCCATATGGGCACTGGGTTCTAGTCCCAGTTGCTCCTCTTCCAGTTCAGCTCTCTGCTTTGGCCCAGGAAGGAAGGCAGTGGAGGATGGCCCAAGTGCTTGGGTCCTGCACCCGCATGGGAGACCAGGAGAGGCACCTGGCTCCTGGCTTCGATCAGCGCAGTGTACCGGCCGTAGCAGCCATTTGGGGGGGTGAACCAATGGAAGGAAGACCTTTCTCTCTGTCTCTCTCTCTCACTGTCTAACTCTGCTGGTCAAATAAAAAAAAAAGAACTTTGGGTCCCCTGCTCTAATGGGCTGGGGTCAGGGTGAGTGTGA